ATCTATTGAGATGAACATATGATTCTATTAATGTGATATATTCCTGTACACTAGGAATAAATCCCATTTGATCATGCTGAATGATCCTTTTAATATGCTGCTAGTTATTATTGGGAATTCTTGCATCTATATTCATAACGGATAGTGATTTATAGTTTTCTTTTCAAGTAGTGTTCTCTTTTGATTTTGGTATGAGGACAATGTTGACTTCCTAAAAGGAGTTTGGGAGTATTCACTCTTTAGTTTTGGGGAAGAGTTTGAAGAACATTGGTGTTAATTCTTCTTTAGATGTAAATTTAAATAAATTAGTAAAATTCACTAATGAAGTCATCTGATCCTAGGCTTTATTTCATTGAGAGCTTTTTTATTACTGATTTAATCTTCTTACTAGTAATTGGTATATTCAGGTTTTCTATTTCTTCCTGAGTTATTCTTTGTAAGTTGTAGGTTTCTAAGAATTTTTCCATCTCTTCTAGATTGTCCAGTTTGTTGGCATATATTTGTTCATAGCAGCCCTTTGTGATCTTTTGAATTTCTGTGGTATCCATTATAATGCCTCCTTTTCCATTATGATTTTGTTGATTTGGGTCCTCCCTATTTTTTCCTTGGCTGGTCTAGCTAAGGGTTTGTCAATTTTTTTATCTTTTCAGAAAACTATTTTAGTTTGGTTAATCTTTTCTATTGTTTTTCTGTTATTTCATTCATTTCTGCTATAATCTTATTTTTCTTCTACTGCTAACTTTGGGATCAGTTTGTTCTTTTTCTAGTTCGTTAAGGCATAATATTATGTTGTTTATCTGGGATATTTATTACTTCTTACTGTATTTATTGCTATGAACTTCCATCTTAAAACTGCTTTTGCTATATCCAATAAGTTCTGACATTCGAAATTGACACATTTTTCATTTGCCTCAAGAAACTTTATTTCCCCTTTAATTTTTTTGATTCGTTGATTGTTCAACATAGTACAGTATACTGTAGTCAGAGAAGATACTTGATATGGTTTCAATCTTCTTGAATTATCTAAGGCTATTCTGTGGCCTTACATATGTTCTATCCTAGAAAATGTTCTGTGCTTTAGAAAAATGTGTATTCTGCTGTTGTTGGATAGAAGGCTCTGTATATTTTATTAGGTCCATTTGGTCTACAGTATTGTAGAAAGGTAATCCACTGTTTCCTTATCGATTCTCTGCCTGGATGATCTATCCATTGTTGAGAGTGAGGTATCAAAGCCCCCAACTAGTATTATATTACTGTTTATTTCTCCTTATAGCTTTGTCAATTTTTGCTTTATATATTTAGGTGTTCTGATGTTGGGTGCATAAATATTTATAACTGTCACTTTTTAAAAAAGAATTTATTTACTTATTTATTTATTATTTTTTTGTATTCATTTATGAGAGAGAAAGAGCATGCTCGGGGAGGAGCAAAGGGGAGGGGAATCTCAAACAGACTCCATGCAGGGCATGGAGCTCAACAGGTGCTTGATCTCACGGCCCTGAGATCATGACCTGAGCTGAAATCAAGAGTCAGATGCTTAAACTACAAAGCCACCCAGGTGCTCCTACAATCTTACACTTCTTGATTGACCCTTTTCTCATTATATAATGACCTTTTTTAAAAAATAATTTTTAGTGTAAACTCTATTTTATCTGATATAAATATTACTAACCCTACTTTTTTGTTGTTGCTACCATCTCCTTGAAAGGTCTTTTTCTATTACTTTGCTCTCAGTGTGTCTTTAAGGCTAAAGTGAATCTCTTATGGGCAGCATTTGTTGAACCCCCCCCCCCTTTTTTTTAATCCATTCTGTCATTCTATGTCTTTTGATTGGAGAAAGTAATCCATTTACGTTTAAAATAATTATTGATAGGTAAGGACTTACTATTTTTTTAGACTTTTACTATTGCCATTCTCTTTATTGTTTTCTGGTTGTTTTGTAGACCCAGTATTGTTTCTTATCTTGCTATCTTTTTTTGTGTGTTTTGATGTCTTTGGTATCAGTATGTTTTGACCCCTTTATTGTGTTCTTTAGTGTAATTGCTAAAGATTTCCCCTTTTGGTTACCATGAGGCTTACATAAATATCCTAAACTCATAATAGCCTACTTTTAACTGATAATTTAATTTTAATAGAATTTATATACTTTACACTTTTACTTCTTTTCTCTTTCACATTTTAGATTGCTGCTGATACAACTTACATGGTTTTTATATCATGTAACTAATAATAGATTATTGAATTATGGTTACCTTTGCTCCTTTTTTTAACTTTTTAAAAAGATTTTATTTATTCAAGAAAGACACAGGAAATAGGCAGAGATATAGGCAAAGGGAGAAACAGACTTCTTCTGCAGGGAGGCTGATGCAGGACTCAAGACCCTGGGATCACGACCTGAACCAAAGGCAGATGCTCAGGTGCCCCTTCTTTAACTTTTAAACTAGAATTTCTTTGTGCATCATATTGCAGAATCACATTATGACTGTATATTTACCATTACCACTGAGATTTATACTACCTTTTTTTTTTTTTTTTTTTTTTTTTTTACCATTTCTTGTAAGGCAGATACAATGGGAATGAACTCCTTCAGCTTTTGTTTGGAAAAATCTTTATCCATCTTTCATTTCTGAAGCACAGCTTTGCCAGGTATAGAAGTCTTGGTTACCAGTTATTTTCTTTTGATATTTTAAATACATCATTCCTGTCTCTGTTGACCTGAAAAATTTCTGTTGAGAAATCTCCTTCTAGTCTTTAGGAGTTCCTGTTATGTAACCTCTCTTTTCTCTTCCTGTTCTCAAAATTCTTTCTATGGTTTTGGACTTTTGAGAATTTAATTATATTGTGTCTTGGTGTAATCCTATTTATCCTATTTAAGTTCAACCTATTTAGGGTCCCTTAGGACTTAAAGATTTGATTGTCCATTTCTTTTCCCAGGTTTGGGGAGCTCTCAGCTATTACTGCTTGAAACATACCTTCTGTCTCTTTCTTTTCTTCTGGAATTACCACAGTGTGAATATTTCTTCTTTTCATTGCATCCTATAAATCCTGTAGGCTTTCTTCATTTTTTTTTTTTTTTTTTTTTTTTTTTTACTACTCTGACTAGGTAATTTTCAATGTCCTATCTTCCAGGGTGCTGATCCTTTCTTCTGCAAGGTTGAGTCTACTTTTGAAACTGCTGAATTCTTCAGTTCAGTTATTCAAGTCTAGGATTTTTTTTTTTTTGGTGGTTGCTATTTGCTTATCAAATTTCTCATTTTATCCAGCATTTTTTTCAGTTTTACGTAATTGTCTGCATTTTCTTAGAATCCACTAAAGTTCCTTAAGAGGATTATTCTGAACTCTTTACCTGTTCATAGATCTCCATTTCTTTAGGGTGGATTACTGGTGCTTTATTAGTTTCTTTGGATGATGTCATATTTATCTGATATTTTGTGATCTTTGATTACTTACATTAGTGTCTGTGCATATGAAAATCTCCTTTTCCAGACTTTACAAGTTTGCTTATCAGAGAGAATTCTTTACCTGTCAGTTCAGTTTGGGTTTCTGGAGGTGTCTGTGGGTAATGTTTTTCAGCAGGTAGGGTCTACTGTTATGGTCTACTTTGGGACAAGGCAACTGTTTTGAGCTCTAAGGATGGGGATAGGTTGGGGATGGTGAGTCACTGACTAGAGAAAAATTGGGTAGGACTGATGGCTTTGTTCCTTACCCAAGTGAGGCTGTAGTACTACATTCAGTTGCAGATGGAGTTGAAAATTAGCTTCCATACCCTGGCAGGACAGCAAGCCAGGGTGCAGGGCCAAAAAACTCATTGTGCACTTAATTCCCTGGTCTGGTGAGGCCACCTGTTTTGCTCTGCAGGTGGAGAAATCACAGGCTGCACTCTGTTCAAACACTATTGTATATCAGACTGTTGAAAGGGCTATACAGCTTTCCATGTGCTCTGGTTGTTTCCTGGTGACAGGCTAAAGGCTGTATTCAGTAATGAGACTATGAATTAGATTTCTTTCCTGGGCACAGTGAGAAGAGGCTGCTCTAAAGCTGGTAAAGCTCTTTGTTGTCTTAACTCAAGCTGACCCACGGGTCAAGTTCCCTGGTCAAACACAGCCACTGGCTTTGCTCTTCAAATTATTAGCTCTGTCTGCCCTTCTCTCAGCTTGAGTACTGCCAGGCCACATAGCTTTCAGATATTTTTGCCAGCCCTTATGGTCAGATGGAGCTAGAAGACACCCTCCACAGCCGGTGAGGCTATAACTCAGCCCCTTTGCCTGGGTAGAAAAGGGAGGAGATGCTCCAGGCTATCAGTTTCCCATACAGGCTCTCTGGTTGGGAGGGGATAGAGCTTCCCTGAGCATTGTCTGTGAATCAATCCCCTTGCCTGACATAATATGCGAACACTCCTTGCTCTGTATTGGCTTTGTTCTGGGAACAATCAGCAATACCTGCTTGCCTCTCAGCTGGAGCTGGACTGCACAGCTTCCAGGAGTGGTCACCAGCCAGCCCTCTTGTCAGATGGAGCCACTCTCCACAGCACGTGGGACTGTGACTCAGCACCTTGCTTAGACATGCACAAACTGGGCTCTAGAACCCACAAAACTCTTTGCTTGAGGATCCAGTTGAGGCGGATCTGCACCCTTCCAAGTTCCTGGGTGAGAGTCCATCCCCAACTTGGCTCTGTGGGTAAGCAAAGTTGCTGGTTGGAATTACTATTTGCCAGTATGAACTCAGTCTGCCAAGATCCATGTACTAGTTGTTGCAAGCCCATTCCCCTCCTGTCACATTCAGATTCCAAATGACTGAGCTCTGAACATCCTTCTACAGTCCTTATGGTATGACATCAGATTAGAGGCTCCCACAAAATGGCCTGCAATGCTGGGGAGGCTGTTCTTCCCCCTGGGTTCTCTGCCCACTGGGGGGAACCAGACGTTCAGGAGACCTCTCTGCATGGTCCTGTGCTGATCTAGGGGAGGGGCAACGCAGCCAATATGTAGTGCTGCTCTTACCTTGTAATGTAGTCTGTCTTGGTCTTTCAGGTACAGAGGGGTGCTTCAACTTCACCTCCATCATCTAGGATTCTCTCAGTGCCATCTTGTTCTTGAATAATTGTTGTTCTTGTGTGGAGAAGCAAAGTCAAGAATGATGTTGTCATTCTTTTTTTTAATTTTTATTTATTTATGATAGTCACATAGAATGAGAGAGAGAGGCAGAGACACAGGCAGAGGGAGAAGCAGGCTCCATGCACCGGGAGCCCGACGTGGGATTTGATCCCGGGTCTCCAGGATCGCGCCCTGGGCCAAAGGCAGGCGCCAAACCGCTGCGCCACCCAGGGATCCCTGATGTTGTCATTCTTGGTGCCACCTTGATGATGTCACTACATTTCTTCTTTTTCAAAAAATGTTTGTGGTGAGAACACTTAAGATCTACCTATGTAGTAAATTTCAAGTATGTAATATGGTATGTGGTCACATCATTGTACATTCTATCTCCGGAACTCAGTTATCTTGCACAACTTAAATTTTTAACCCCTCAACATCTCCCCATTGCCCACTTCCTTGATCCCCACTGCTTCTATGAGTTTGACTGTTTTGGATTCTATATGGGAGTCACATAATGCAGTATTTGTATTTCTGTGTCTGACTCATTTCAGCCAGCATAAGGTCCTTTAGGTTCATCTATGTTGTTAAAAGTGGCAGGGTTTCCTTTTTTAAAAAAGCTGAATGGGATGCCTGGGTGGCTCAGCAGTTGAACATCTGCCTTTGGCCCAGGGCGTGATCCCAGAATCCAGAATCAAGTCCTGCATCAGGCTCCTTGCAGGAAGCCTGCTTTTCCCTTGACCTGTGTCTCTGTCTCTCTCTCTGTGTCTTTCATGAATAAATAAATAAAATCTTTTTAAAAAATAAAAATTAAAACATTAAAAAAGTTGAATAATATTCCAAAGTGGAATAATATTTTTTCCAGTTTTAATGAGATGTAACTGACATACAGCACTGTTCACATTTGAGATATACAGCATTATGACTTGGCCCCCATGTAGCACAAAATGATCACCATGAGTTTAGTTAGTTAACATTCATATCTTATATAGTTACCTTCAGAAAGCTTTTTCCTTTTGATGAGAACCTTTGAATCTATTCTTTTAGCAAATTTCAAATACATCATACAGAAATGTTAGCTAGTCATCATGTGGTAGATTATAATCTCAGAATTTATCTTGTAACTGGAAGTTTATGCCTTTTGACCAATTTCATCCAAACCCCCAATTCATTGTAAAAGCAATATACAGTATCACAGAACTCATTTTTTAGAGAAAAAGAAATAAGAGCAAAAACCAGTATAATGATTTAAGAAAAATGAGGTTTATCAACAGTGTCCATAATCTTTTTTTTTTTTTTTAAGATTTTATTTATTTATTCATGAGAGACACAGAGAGAGGCAGAGACACAGGCACAGAGAGAAGCAGGCTCCCTGCAGGAGCCCAATGTGGCACTCGATCCAGGACCCTGGGACCATGCCCTGAGTCAAACGCAGATGCTCAACCGGTAAGCCACCCAGGTGTCCCAACAGTGTCCAGAATCTTAAGGCTTTTAAATGATTAGAAAAATTACAAAACACTGGTAGGATTGATGAAAAAAGAAAGGAAATAAAATAACACAGGAATAAATATTATTTGCTGTAAAAATATTTTAAAACTTTAGATTTAATTATTATTCCCAGAAAAGTAATTATAACATATTTATTCAAAGGATCAACAATCATAATATAAATTTATTAGCAAAATTTACCAATAAAATGTAGAAAATTTCACAGTGAGTCGTGATAAATCCTTAAAATATAGAAAGGATTAAGTATAGGACTAATACATACCTTATTGAAAAACTGGATAATACTTTATTTTTTAATTTGTATTGTTTTTGGATAAGAATACTTTAGAAAAAATATAATATGTAAGTATGGATGTAAACATTTTAAATATAAATTGAGAGTTCAAACATGGTTGAAAACCACTGCATCTTTCACCTCAAGCTGTTCACAATTTAGTATCATAGATCTTAAACTCAAAAGTCCCAAAGAAGCTGACTTTATAATCCCCTTCTCCAGGGTCTCAAATAATAGCTGCAGTGAGGGTCAAGGTCTGGAATTTGATAGAGCATCGATTTCATTTTTTGAACATTGCTTCCCTATACTTGCCTTTGATTTCTTCTATTATCAATGTCCTGCTTGTTAAATGCCCAAGTCTCTTACTGTTGATTCTAGATCATTGACAGCTTAACCTAAGAGTCTTTATTGATAATGCTAGAAAAAGTCTGTCTCATGCAACAGATGCACTGTAAGCACATTGTCACCATAAAATATCTCTGGGCATCACATCCAAGTGAAAGGGTTATTTTATATAAAAGATACAAAATTATCTTTGTGTCTTTCCTCCTTCTACTGAGATATGCATATAACTTCAATAATAAAAACAAAGGCACATTTTTGGATTGTTCCTCACATTTTGCAATCCTTTGAGAAATGGTATTCAGCAGAAAATTCTAGAGAGTGCCCAACTTAAGTTCCATCTAAATAAAGAAGTTTCTGCTACCACAAAGAATTACATATTAAGAAAAGCTGAATGAGTAGCTAAGTGTTTTGCTAATACTAAAAGCATTGCTCATCTCAAATGGTGTATCACATTTTTCAAATGAAATCTTGAATGTAACTATCCTTTACTTACTAGGACACATTTGAAATAATTTTCCTGAGTTATTGTGGTGTGTATCATTCCTATTTGCTTATGGAATTGTGCTATAATTTTGCTTAGTGTTCTATGAAATTAATGTTCTACATTTTTATTGATCTAATATACATGCAGAAGTATTTAAGAGAGGACTGGAGGCTTCAAAAAGAGGTATGTGCTAGAATACTGTAGGCAACATGTATCCTGCACAACAAAGTTGCTTCTTTTTCATTTCACCATGGTTTTTAGAATCTAGAATAGTTCTTTTCTAACTGGTATTGTTACACGTAAATTGTTATTTCCCTAAAACAAAGAGTCTTAAAGTTGAACCTTCAGCTATTTCAAAAAGACAGTTTAATTTTTTTTAATTTTAATTTTCTTGACCATATACAAAAGGAGACATGCAGGGGCATACCTGTTTTTATTTTTTGTATATTTATCCATAGAACTTTTATATGATCAAAATTAGAAAAAAATTAGAAGGAAACAGTAAAGTAATTAGTGTCCCTTATTTTTAGCCGGGTCATTTTGCTATTTTTACATTCATTGTTTAGATCTGTGCTATTCACACCAATTTCTCTAGAAATCTTTTCTGCTTGCATCTCAGACTTCCCTTCTTCCTGAAATAATATCCTTTGAAAATTCTTTTGGTAGGGCTTATTGGTTATAAAATGTTCTTCTTTATCTGAAAACATACTTATTTCACTTTCATTTTGAAACAGTTTTGCTGGGTAGACTGTTATAAGTGGAAAGTCATCTTCTGTTGGTATTGTGTAGATATGCTTTCACTGCCTTCTGATTCCTATTGTTGCTGTTGAGAAATCGGCTGTTAATCTACTCGTTGCCCCCTTAAAGGTGATCTTTTCTCTGGTTTGTTACTAATATATCTATTTGTTTGGGAGGTAATACAATTTCCCTGTAATGTGTCTAAATGCGATTTCTTCTTCTTTTTAAATGTGATTTCTTATTGTATTTATCTTGTTGTAATTCACTGGGCCTCCCAAATCTGAAAAAAAATCTTATCCTGAAGTCTTTTTTTTTTTTAATTTTTTTAAATTTATTTATGTATGATAGACACAGAGAGAGAAAGAGGCAGAGACACAGGCAGAGGGAGAAGCAGGCTCCATGCACCGGGAGCCCGACGTGGGACTCGATCCCGGGTCTCCAGGATCGCGCCCTGGGCCAAAGGCAGGTGCTAAACCGCTGCGCCACCCAGGGATCCCTCCTTAAGTCTATATATATATACATAGACATATATATATATATATATATTTTTTTTTTTTTTTATTTCCTCTTCCATATTACTCAGCGCTAAAAAAGATGATGTAGCCATTTGCAACAACGTGGATGGACCTAGAAGATATCATGCTAAGTGAATTAAGTCAGACTAATATGATTGCACTTACATATGGAATCTAAAAAAGCAAATGAACATTCAAACAAATCAGAAACAGACCCATAAATACAGAGAAAAAAAACTTATGGCTGCCAGAGAGAATGGGGTTAGGGAGATAAGTAAAATGGTACAGTGAAGAGGGAGGTATGGCCTCCAGTTACATGATGAATAATTCAGAGGAATGAAAGGCACAGCACAGGGAATATACTCAGTAGTACTGTAATATGTTGAATGGTAACAGATGTAGCTACACTTATGGTGAGCATTGCATGTGTTGAGTCCTAAAGTCACTCTGAAATTAATGTTACATTGTGTGCCCACTTTACTTCAATAAAAAAGATATTTTTCCTTTTCCTGTTTTCTCTATTATCTTTCTCACTCTATCGTCATGTCTCTTTCTTATTTTCCATCTGTTACAATTCTGATGCATTCTGGGTAGTATCTTCAAATTTATCTTTCAATTCATTAATTCTCTCTTCTACTATGCCTAATCCACCATTTAACCTGTCTGTTGCTTTGGGAATTGCAATGATTGTATTTTTCTTCCTAGAAGTTGTATGTTGTTCCATTTAACATCTGCCTGGTCACATATTGATAATCCCTTTTCTTGTTATATTTTCAATTCCATCTTTAACACTTCACATTCAGTCTTTTTGTTGTTGTTCATCTCATAATGCTAATATTGGAAGTCATTACAAGTCTAAATCTGTTGTTTGTTGTTTTTTATTTCTTGTGCATTTAATTTTACAGTGAACTTGTTTTTGGCTGAATTTATTTTCAGGAAATTCTGAGGGGTTTATAATAAAAAATACTTTGCTGTGGAAAAGATTTGATTATTTTTGTTGGGTGTCAAAAGGGGCTACCAATCTGGGGTCATTTTAATTTCTTGGCCCTGTGCATAAGGAATGTATACATCTCAATCCAGACCCATGTGATAATAGTTTATACATTCTATTATTTTGTTTTGTTTTCCTCTTGAAGCTATGACAATGATATACAGGTTTTGTTTTTGTTTTTTTATTTTGCCTATGTTACTGCAGGGGATTTTCTTCACTCATCCATTCACTGAGACTACAGCCTCTTCACATGTCTCAATTTTATTCAGTAAGCATTAGGGGGTGTGTCTCAGAATTACTTCTCTCAACTTGTATGGGCCTTGGGACCTAGTTTTTTGGGTCCTGAATGCTATATAATATAAAAGATGCTAGGTTCTCAATCTTGGCATGTAACACCAAAGTATCCATAATTCCTCATTTAATCACCTTTGATTTCAGCGTGGTGCTTTGTTTTTGTTGGGGAAGGGTGAGAATCTTGAGGATTTTCTGTACTTTCTTGCAAGGTACACAACACTTTTAAAAATGTTTGTTTATTGTACTTTATCCAGTGTCTAAGTGTTTAGCTGTTGAGAGAGCCTTTTCAAAAATACCTGGATTGCTATGCTGCCAGAGGATAAGTCATAAACAGTTTGATTTTCAAACCTTTTTTGTTAAAAAATTAAAAAATCAGACTTCTTATCAAGCGCAAAGCCATTACTATTAGTGATTTGTAAATTGGAAAGATAACAATAATGGTAGATAATGCATGTTGTTTCATCTCCCTAAGAATAAGGTAATATTATGTATAAGCTACAGATGGAAGATGTGAGACTTAGATAACTCAGAAACTTTCTTAAAGTCACATAATAAATGGCAGGGATAGGTTTGTCTGATAAACCTTTGTGTGCTCTCCCCACCCCCTGCTCTGCCCCTGGACTGCCTCTTTATTCAAGCTCTGCAATCACAGAAGATAAAGCCATTTGAAAAATGTTACGAGTTATATTTTGTTTTAATGTGCAAACTGATCAGAGATCAACTTTGCAGTAAGGAACCTTCATCTCTTTACGATGTATCAAAAATTTGGTCAAAATCTGACAGTTTCTACAAAACTTACCATGGATCAAAGAAAGAGACAAAAATGGGAAACATTAAAGAGTCAAGTTGAAAAGAGCTCTTTTCAGTCATTTAAGAATATCAGATAAGTTCTAGAAGCAATATATTTGTTTTGTGCTTTATTGGCTGCCTTATCTCAAAAAGAACTTACGATAGCTGATGGGAATGCATAACATTCAAGATATAAATTAGAAATAGGTGAGGGAAAAAGAAACCAGAAGAAAAAAAAGGGAAAACAGAGAAGATTAAAATAAAAAAATGTATACCACTGAGCTCATCATGAGACAGCTGGCAAATCTGGCTTTCTCAGGCCAACTTAAAAAGGGCTACCTGAGTAGTTATGAGTCACCATGTATATATAATAAAAACAATCTCATTGTTCAGAAGCACAGATATGACTGATCCCTATGAACAGGATCAAAAGTTTCTCACAAAGCACCTCAGAAACAGGGCATTGTATAATGAGAACAACAACATCCTGACCACATAACTGTGCAATTTTTTGAGTGAAGGGAACTATTAGACATTATGCTGGGACGACAGGTATAAACGGAGACTGTCCCTCCAAAATAAAAATGTACACTTACCCTACATATTTTGTGAAGATATTTTATTATTGCCTCCCTCAGTGCAAACCAATGAGTGCACACAAACAGCAATTTAGTAAAAGCAACTGTATTTGAGGTTAACATAACCTGATTGGCCCTAACTTTCAGCTGATCTAGTTACATGGTAGACTTCAGGGCACAGTGGAGCAGGAGTAACATACTTAAATGAGCTCAGTGGCAAGGGAATGAACCTAAGACTGTCAAGTAGCCAGGTTTGGGATAAGAGGAAATGGTTAGTGGCAAAAAAATTTTTTAAACAATACTTTGAAAAACAAAATCAGGGATCCCTGGGTGGCGCAGTGGTTTAGCGCCTGCCTTTGGCCCAGGGCGCGATCCTGGAGATCCGGGATCGAATCCCACGTCGGGCTTCCGGTGCATGGAGCCTGCTTCTCCCTCTGCCTGTGTCTCTGCCTCTCTCTCTCTGTGTGTGACTATCATAAATAAATAAAAATTTAAAAAAAAAAAAAAAAAAAAAAAAGAAAAACAAAATCAACCTACAGTTGAATCTAGTTTCCAACCCAGTGACTGACAGTTGGGAATAATGATATATCCATATAATACGGTTATTTGATGTCTTGCCATCTGCATTCAATACTCAATAGACATTTTTAAACATTAACCAGGCCTTCATTTTTCAACTCATTCTTGCTTGTGTCTATCACTTTGTTGAAAATATATTTAGGAGGGTTTCTAATTAAATTCGAACAAAAATTTCTGAGTTAATGCTTGGCTTTTATAAGTAGCATGTTCTTTTGAACGGTAATCATTACTGCCTCAAGATTTCCTCTGACCCTGGCTTCTGAAGAAATGCATTTTCTTGGCCTTTCAGTTTGAAGGACCACTTTAAAAAGAGCCCATCCAAATACAGGCTACGTTAGTAAAAATTGAAGATTCCAAACCAGGGAACTAACACTTAAAGGGGGATTGTGGTCTTACCTTTACACTGTGCTGGTCAGATCCCATAGCTCATTGTGGGTGTCTCCATTCCTAAAGTGAGACATTGACAAAGCATGGAGCCCCAGATGGCAATGCCAATTGTCCACTATTTCTAGGTTTCTTCTCCTTTCAAGGGACATTTTCAAGTTTTTGTACTTCAATCCCACCCCCACTACCTTCATCAACTCTCAGAAGATGACCTGGCTTCAGAGACATCATCAAACAATTCAAGTCTGCTCCCCCCCTTAAGACGTACCTGTGTTCACGTAGCTCTGGTTTGTGGCAGAGGTATCCATTCACCTGTTCAAGACACATTAATCCACAGGATGTCACCTCTTCTGCCTTCTTAAGAATTTTTTATTATTTATTTACACTCTATTCTGTATCTTCAACTCTCCCTTTCTCCAGGCTCTTTCCTATGGACACAGAAAGGAGGTCAAGTCTCCATGATCTTTAAATAAACCAGACTTGCTCTTTGTCCTCTAGTTTCTACACTATCTCTCTGCTCTTCACAACTTTTGAAAAGGAGGCCTGCAGGCGATGTCTTCTGCACTCACTTCCTATCAACGCCACAATCTCTGGCAATTTACATTCTGGTCCCTTCACTACTGAAATAACTCTTGCCCAATAACTTCCTAGTTGCTTAATTCAAAGAACACTTTTTTCTTTTCCTCATAGCATTGGTGACTGTTAACTTCTTTTCAACTCAATCCTCTCTTAGTTTCTGGGATAGTGCCATATCTTGATTTTCCACTAACCTGCCTGGACATTCATTTTCAATCGATTTTATGAGCTGTTTGATAACCCCAAAATGTTGGCCTTCCTCTATCTAGTATATACATGTTGGCTTCAACTAATACCTATTGACAAATCCCAAATCTGCAGCCTTAGACCAGTTCTAAACTCCTGATCGGAATATTCAAGTGCTTACCTGTCTTCAAACTCAACATGCCTATAATTGAACTTATCTGTCCCCCTCCACTCTTCCTATGTCATTGCCTTTCACTCATTCAAATCAGTCATTTAGAAGTTATCTTTGACACCTTCTCTTCCTTTCCTCCTACGTTTGCGTTTAGTTGGTCATCAAATTCTAATTTTTTCTTCAATCAGTCTTCTACTCTCTTACATTGCTGCCCTTACATTGCTTACATTGCTGTTACAATGCTATATAACATTTCTATATTATATAGAAAGTTTAATTGTGCAGCATGATTTCAATAGTTCCCATTATCTTCATGACACAGTTTTAATTAGCATGGCATCCAAAGCCATTCATATTGTAGCTTTCCTAAAAGTAGCAAGTGCCCAAAATGTATCATTCTCTTTCACCTCTTTCCCTATCCTCTTCCTACGCTCACTATTTAGTCCTGCAATACTCAGTTCAGGTATCTCCTCCTGCAGGCTGTTTCCCCAGCTTCTCCAGACAAGATTAGGTGTTCCTCTGCTGTATTCCTGTATCATTCTGGGTTTATTACTTCTATTAGGACATTTGTATCAATCCTGCAACTCCTAATTTACTTATTGGGATCCTTCTTTAAGCACACCAATAATACCCAACATTTGTTGAAAGCCCTGTACCAGGCCCTCTATTAAGTGCATTGTATGCATTATTCATTTAATTCTCACAACAATCCTAAGTAGTTACTAATACTATTTGTGATTCCCAGGGGAGGAAACTGAGCTTACAGGTTAAGCAACTTCCTCAGTCACAAAATTATATCCTTATCTTTTTGAGAGCAAGATCTGTACTATTTGTCTGTGAAGAAAACTTGTTGACATATGGCACATGATAGATCCCTAACAGATGTTTATGGGTTGAATAAATGAATGAAGAGCACAGAGGACACAACTGGAACCAGAAAATAAAAATCAAATAGAGGCAGATTTTGGGGCACCTGGGTGGCTTAGTCTGTTAAGGGTCTGCCTTTGGCTCAGGTCATGATCTCTGGGTCCTGGGATCGAGCCCCATGTCGGGCTCTTTGCTCAGCACAGAGCCTGCTTCTCCCTCTGCCTGCTACTCTGCCTGCTTTGTGCTCTCTCTCCCTCTCAAATAAATTTTTTTTTAATTTAGTATGATTTTGTATTAGCTAAAACTGTCCAACGGAATGACTCACTCAAAAGATAGTTACATGTGGCACTTAACACACTGAAGAGTATACATTTGTATTTTTTTTTCCCTTGTGAGTAGGGGCTGTATCCTACTCTGTTTTCATTCTTCAGAAGTTAGCCAAGGGCTAGAGATGCTCAGCAGGTGGTCTTTTTTCCCCCCCAGCAGGTGTTTGTTGAATGAACTGGATTGAATTTAAAGGCCCTGGAAACTAAACAAAAATGGGTATTTGTCCTTAATACCATTCATTAAAAGTTTAACTCCCATGGTTCTTAATTTCTTCCTATTCTGCCTTTTCTAGAAAGAAACAACTTTGAGAAGACAAAGTAGGGAAAGAGTTTAGAGACTTCATTTGTTGTTTGTAAAATTCCACCAGACTGTAAGCCCTGAGGGGACAGGGAATAATGCATCTCTTTTATCACATTATACCCTTAGTCTTGCACATAAGAGTTGTTCAATAAATATTTCTTGGATGAAACACATGTGCATGCGTGCACACATGCACATATGCACACACACACCGCAATGGTGTGCTCTACTCCTAGAAGGGTCCCCTCATGGAACCATATGCCCTATAAGGAATTCCTGCATATTTTCCTGTGGGAAATTTGAACCAGATCAGGAACTACCTGGAAAAGTAGTTAAATTACGTACTTTGGATCCCCAAAAAAGAGAAATGGAGAAAAGAAATGCACTGAATCACAACTGTCATTCCCAAACCTGAGGCAAGACTCACAGTAGTCACAGACAGTGGAAAAAAACAGTAGCTGTATGACCTGAGGCCCCTACCAAATTTTAAATAATTTGATTTTCATTTATTGATTCTAAATATTGCAATGAGAGCCTCACTTCAACCACTGATGGTTAGATCTGGAATTCACTTATTATACACTATCCTAGGCACTGAGGATACAGTTGTAAAAAGAGAGAGAGAAACTTTTAACCTCAGGGAGTTTACATTCTAATGCAGCCAGTATGGGAGTAGGAGACAAATGATAACAAGATATTGTAGATAGTGTTGTCCAAAAAAGGTAGCATGAACCCAGGAAATGGCAAAATTCATGAGACAGCACTATAGTTACTATATCTTGAAGTGCTGGACTCTGGTCATTGGACCTTGGAGTAACTGTTGACAGTAATTCCTTAGCACTTTAAAGATTCATTCCTTTCTCAATGTCCTATTATCTCAGTTCCCCATATATGTTGTTACCAACTGGTACCACTTCCTCACTGGCTTCCAGCTTTCTTCTCTACTCTGTGTATACAAATTCATTGAATATAATTTTCTCTTAGGTATCGTATCAATTTTTTTTTAAAAAAACTTCAACAAATCTATGAAGATGCATATGTCAATTCTATCACCTATTTTCTCTCCTGCCTTTATCTCTCTCAAGTCTATGGGCAAACTCTTCTTTTTCTGTCTTTCCCTCTCCACTCCTTCAAAAAAACCAAAATAACCTTTCCCATGTACACTAAGTAGTCTTCATCTCATTTAAAATATTTTTTCCCTCCATAAAACTTTTCCTAACCTAGTATAAATAATATTAAACACGGCAAATTAGCGTTTTTACAATTAAAGACAAGATTTTATTTTATTATTTTTTGAAGATTTTATGTATTCATGAGAAACAGAGAGGCAGAGACATAGGCAGAGGGAGAAGCAGGCTCCCTGTCAGGAGCCCGATGCGGGACTCGATCCCAGGACCCCAGGACCATGACCCGAGTCAAAGGCAGATGATCAATCACTGAGCCACCCAGGTACCCCAAAGACAAGACTTTAAATTTAGGTCATAGAATAGCCAAATACATAGGAAAGGGTTATAAGTGAATTTTACATGTTTTATATTCAAATTGGTTTACCAATGTTTATATTTCTCTGTAGCTTTGGTGTAAGACCTTGAGAATCAGACTATTTTTTTGAGCTATGTTCCATGCTTTTTAAAAATTTTTAATTTATTTTTGGGCAGCCCCGATGGCTCAGCGGTTTAGTGCCGCCTTCAGCCCAGGGTGTGATCCTGGGGACTTGGTATCAAGTTCCACGTTGGGCTTTCTGCATGGAGCCTACTTCTCCCTTTGCCTGTGTCTCTGCCTCTCTCTCATGAATAAATAAAATTTAAAAAATTATTTATTTCAGAGAGACAGAGCATGTGTGTAGGAATGGGGAACAGGCAGGGGTAGAGGGAGAGGTAGACCGAATTTCAAGCAGACTCCATGCTAGGCATGGAACCTCAATCTCACGACCCTGAGACCATGACGTGAACTGAAGAGTTCAGAGTCAGATGCTTAACTGACTGAGCCACCAGGCACCCCTATGTCTCATGCTTTTAAACATAGGAATACAAAGACCCTGATTAACCTCTGATGTTTTGACAGGCTTCAGATCCAAATGATAGACATGATTTGTCTGCCATTATAATTAATACACTGGCTCACATACAAACACCCATGATTTTATTTTCTCTAAAAGAACTATGAATAGCAATATCTGCTTTTAAGAACATAGTTCTTAGAGGCTTATCACTCCCAGAAAGAGAGTACTTTAATGTTCTTTTTGCCCACTTTACATCTTTCAACCTAAACCACTTCCCTCCAAAATATACTTTAAGCACTTATCACTTCAAACTTATACAGTATCTTGTACCTCTAGTTCTCAGGCAATTTAATTTACCATATATAGTAGAAAGTCTTTTCCCTATTTAAAAGAGAAAGGTTGGAAATCTGGAATTCCTCACCCAATATTTCAAAATACACTAGTACTGGAGCTAGTAAGATCCAGAACTTCTATTTTAGTTTTAGACAATTCTTATATATTTAAATATTTATTATTGTTAAAATTATTATGAATTATAATAATTACAAAAGAACGCATTTAAGCTGTAGGGTTTAATCACACTGAAAGAGCTATAAATTTGTTCACTTTAAACAAGGAGCATATGAGGAATATCCAAATGTTTTATAACATTTCCTTTAACTGTAATAAATGACCAGGCTGGAAAAATAATTATTTTATAGTGCTAGGTCTCAGGGAACATTAATCTCATTTCAAGTAAAATCATTTTAACTTTTTAGAGCTGATTCAATCATCTGTGAGTGACTGAATGAAACCTCGTACATGAATGTTCCTGGCACAAGTAGGCGCTCTATGTACACGGTTAGATCTGAATCTAGATTCTATTCTTTAAGAGGAGTCATAAGATCCAGGATTTCCTCTGCTCAGATATCCAGATGCTGTAACTGAATCAGGGGGTAGCAAGAGCAAGCTTTCAGATCAATCAACACCCAAAAGTTTTTCTCACCTGCTTATGTCTGGCCCAATTCTAAAATAAGTATACGTTTTTACTGAAAATGTTTTTATTGTGAATGACTGCTGGTTGCAGTTAGCTTCTGCAATTCTACCTGGCTCAAGTTCATTTTTGAAAAAAAAAATAGCTGTTAAGACAGACATTTTAATTTAAAGCTATCCCTTAAGCTTACATAAATTCAAAAATAGTTGAGGTCTTCGTTATAATGCTCTAATACTCCAGTTATGGTCAGTTGAAGTGAAGTCTTGTCAAAATACTTTTAAGCTAAACAAACACTGAGTTTAGAAAATGACATCAAAGAATTTCTATATTTAAAATTCTTTTCCTTTGCTATTTAGGTCTTCTGGGTAATGAGACAGAAAACAGAATGATCTCTTATACATATTTAATGGCACTTATTTAATATTAGTTATCTTTGTACATGTTTTATTTTTGAAAATGTAATATAAAATTCTTGAAGGGAGTATGTAATGGGCACTTAATATTAATTGAATGAATAAATGGACCAAGATCCGATGAGGCTAAAGGAGAGATAAGCAGCAGATCTGTGTACCTGTGTGCAGTGGAAAGTACACATCTGTAAAAAATAATCTGACTATGCTTACATGATGACTGGGTACACGGAAAAATTCACTAATGAAAAAAAAACACTTAGGTGACACATAGGCACACATAGACTCACACATTTACATAAGCAAATGCAAAGAAAAGTGTTAATAGAATATACATCAAAGCAGTAACAGCGGTTACTGCTAAGGAGAAGGCTGTGATTCTGGGGGCAAAGAGGGCCTTAAGCTACCAATAATATTTTAACTTTTTATGAGAGAAATATATCTATAATATGCAATTCAAAAATTAATTAGAGAAAAAGGAAAGGGAAGAAAAGACACTGACACAGAATCAAGACATTCTAGGCCTAACTTGCTGTATATCAGGAATAAATATTTAAGTGCTCTTGATCTCCATTTTCTCATTTATAAAGTGTGCAAGTAAGATTAGCTGATCTCTAAGCTCTGTATTTTATGATGAACTGTGAACTATCAATCATTATAAATCATTGCCTGAAACCACCAGATCAATGAGATATTAAAATCTAAATACCAGCCAAGTTGTTTAGCTTTAAGAATGTAAGAACTAGAAAGCTTTGTTCTACTTTTGTACCAAAGCCTGGTGTATCTGCACAAAGAATCGACAGGCAATTTCAGGTGTTGTACTCTTGAAAGACAACAGAGAGCTGGAGTTAAGTGCATAAAAGGGACATTAGGAGACCCTAGAGGAAAAATGAGCCTCTAAATGAGGAAGAGAAAAAAAACCAGTACTTATGTTTTTGGGAAAGAAAATGATAGTGAAGTTGTACCTAACATTCTTAAGTATTTTGATGCAAGGGACATTGTGAAGATGCCTAAAAGGTGTTTGTTTTTAACCAAGTATGCCAAGTAATGCATATCACAGATAATCTTACTCATCCTCACATCTCTATGTTGTACTTCATCACCTAAATGAGTGACAAGAAGATGAGATGGTCAAAGATAAGGAATATGAGGGCCAGGGATATCTGTTGCATACCTTTTAAATTTTTTTTTTTTTTTTTTGATGTGTGTTTTTAAGCAGTCATTTCAAAGAGGCATGAGCCTATGTCAAAACAGCTACTGAAAAATGTCCTATTTATCGGGAAATGGTAGTGATGAGGTAGTGGCCACAGCGATGTGGAGGCAATAGATGAGTAATTTGTGTGTGTGTGTGTGTGTGTGTGTGTGTGTGAGAGAGAGAGAGAGAGAGAGAGAGAGAGAGAGAGAGAGAGAGAGACAGAGAGACAGAGTGTGTAAGGAAGGGGAATATGAAGGCGGTATTACTAGAATTGACCCATTTAGAGTATGGATGAGTCTTTGAAATTAGTCCTCGCAATTGTACTTCATGATTTCTCAAATCCATCCACAAGTCTTCCAGTCTCCTGTTATATTGTGATAGTAGTTTACTACTAGTCATTCTTTACTGCATCACCTTCCGTTCTAAACCTAAGTCAAAACAACCATTTTTACCAGTTGTGCACAAATAATTGTAAATCAAACATATTTTAAACAGTCAGATCTGTATATCTCTATATAATTATCTATAATCATATAAGTTCCTGCTTGAATGTGATGGAAATGACTGCAGGAAAAGCGAGAGCCTAGGAATTTACATGTCATTGCATATACATGCATCTATTATTTATGTGGCAAAAGAAAAATGGCTGGGAACAATAGTCTTGAAAAGTCCAAATTCCATAACATCATAGATACCTCTCCTAGACTGGCCTCAATGAACCAGAAATAGACTCACCCACAGTGGACTAATCATCATTCCCCAAATGAGCCATATATTTTCATGCCTTTGAGCCTTTCAATAACCGTAGCCTTCCCTTCTCCACCACCAACTATTGAACATTCTTGTAAGATAGACTCAAATACCCCTTATTCTATAAAGTTCTCAGACTTCTCCAGGTGAAGCCAACACCTCCATTGTATTCCTTGCTCTACTGTAGTTGAATTATTTCTATGTCCACTCCTTCCATCACTCATGAACTCTAAAACTGTAAAGCATTTCCTGCACCTTCTTTAAAGTTTCCTGTCTTACCATGTTGCCTGGCTGATAGAGCCTTCCACAAATGTTAGTTTGAATGGAGATATTAAAAAAACAGCAATGAAACACCTGTTTCTAAGGGGCATTAGGGAACTGTCCTGTTATTTACTAGCTAAGACAGATTCATTTAAGCTACTCAATGAAAAGGTCTTATTTTAAAAGGCAATCAAGGCAGGAAATCCTAATTTTCATTAGAAACATTTTTTTTTCTTTATCAAATAGCCCATGTTAAAAGTTCTTTCTTACACAGGAAATTTTTACAAGATTCTACAAAAAAAAGATGCCTAAATCCTCAAAATTTAACTTTCACAGTACCTAATAAGTATCCTCTAAAAAGCATAATCCAATCAAGAAAACCTATGTTTTGCCTGACATTCTAAATGTGTCTATTTTGAAACTGACTTAATGACTAGATAGTAATATTCTTTCCCATTCTCTATTTTTAATTCAAGAACTTGTTTATTTTTCTTTTTTCCTATTTGCTCTTGACATTATATTATGGCTGTGGTCTGTAATGTTAACCACATTGCCAGCTGAAATCTACAAAACTCTGATTACCTTAAAAGCCCTGAAATCTCCAAGGAACACCCAGATTTCCCGTTTCTTCAATAAAAACCATTCACTGTAGTAAATGTTGCCTATAAATATGCATCATGTTTTGTAACTGAGATGCTAAAAAATGTCCTCCTTCTAGAGTAAGGGCCTATTACAACTAGTGTAGCAGTGAAGTCTCTTATTTTGGATTAGGTATACTTAGTACTCTTTAGAACATCCAAAAAACGTCCAAGGGAGCCTCTGGTAAGTGAAGAAGTAAATCTAATGGGAAAACACTGGGAGATCTTTAATGGGGCAATAGGAAATGGATCAGGGGATTCCATGAATTCTGGTAAACTATTTGGACTCCAAAAAGGAAAAGGGAACAAAATAGACAAATTGTCTTCTTGGGAGGTAGGAACAAGGGTAAAGAAGGATATGAGAAAAGTTTCAGATTCTCAGAGGAAAAAATGTTAGGCTGAATTTAAATACAAGTGTGAGTAAATTTTCTGATTTCTGTACTTAGCAAGTTTGAAGTGCTCCATGGTTTAAGAACAGATCTATTATTGGTTAGGTCTACATTCTTCAAGAGATAAAAATAACTGGTTACCATCCTAAATATAAAACAATAAAACAGACCATTTAAAGATTTTACTTCTTCCAGGTATGAAGAAAAAAATACACAAAATGTTATTCTAGATTATTAACAAAATGTTATTTTTAAATGTTATTCTATATAATTAACTATAGCAAATCAGAAGTTTAATTAGGATAGACTTTAAAAATAGACTTTCAGGGAGGCAGGTGGGGGGACGGGGTGACTGGGTGTTGGGCATTGAGGAGGGCACTTGATGGGATGAGCACTGGGTGTTATCTATATGTTGGCAAATTGAATTTAAATAAATAAAAATAAATAAAAATGGGCTTTCAAGAGTTATTAGATCTATATTGACTTGTTCAATTAATGTATACTCAGCATATTATATTGATTTTACGCAATATGGGTTACAAAGAATAAAGAGCGGTCCTTGTTCTCAAGAAGCCCACACTCAAGCACAGAATAGCACCTTTTGTTTTTGACATTTGTGTTCAATTTTTAACAATGTTAAGACCGCTTTTCAGTATTTTTGATAGAACATCAGCTGTATCAGGCCAGGTATATTTGGAAAATAGGAAATACCCAGAGGATAACATAGGAGGATCTGAAATGCCCTGAGAAGTCGTATAGAAAAGAATTTTAACTTTAACTTGGTACTTTCCAAAACTATGTAACTGCGTTTTTTTTTTTCTTCTTTCTAATACCTATAAACAGATCATGGCACACTCTGAGAAATGCTG